TTGCTGTTTTGTTCCATAACTGTTTTTTAAGAAGACAGCTAAGGCTGGTGCTAGAGTATGGTTTGCCATAATCAAAATGAATTTATTCTGACTATTTTCTTTATCAATATGTTTGTAATTCCTAACTTTGGTATTTGCTTTATTAGTAGTGCATGCGTTAATTACAGAGATTTTTCTATCCTCGGGGGCGGAGCTACGTCACAAGACGTTCGACGTCGAGCCGGTGAAAATTCGAGAAAACAACACAAACTCAACTTTGAAGTAATCCCGAACAACCAAATTTATATATGTTACACACGTAGGGCTAATCTTGTTACACTGTTCAGAGGAGTCTCAACAGTCATCCGAAAGTACCGTTTTCTGCGAGTTTTGGGCCTTTGTTTTCACCGCCATGGGTTGCCAGGCGGTGAAGATGCCCGAATGCCCCCCCCCCGAGGATGGTATAAATAAGGGAATATTTCAATTATTGAAGATGCGCTTCAAATAGAGCAAATAAAGGATTTCATGGTACATTATTTTGTACTACTAGTATGTGTGTTGCATGTTACATGGGCTCACTGGAAAGCAGCAGAGTTGGACCACACTGTATAAAAATATTAAATAAATAAAAACAATCTAATGTACAATTCGAGAGATGAAGTATCGTCTAAACCTATCACGACAGTTTTTTTGTTTTGGTTTTCTTGTAACCACTGCTATTCCTATGGAATGTACAAGTATATGTAAACATTGTTCAGGTTATCATTCTTCACCTATAGCTCCTTATCGGCGCAAACAATCATTCTTGTCGGAGCAAGCAAACATTGTACAGTGTTCATCTCTAGAAAGGTTGAGAGTCATAACAATGCAAGTCCACAATAAACCCACTGCGATAAACCAAAATACAATATACAATACAATACTCACCGCTGGATCTCGTTCGATCACCACAACACGCATACCACGAACGATCTTTCTTTTCAAGAAATAGGCAATGCTGGAACCAACAAGACCACCACCAATAATGACAATGTCTGCTTCATCGGCAGGACGATTTTCTGTTGGCGCAAACGAATCTTTTTCTTTCAAACTTTTCTGGAACTCACTCAGAAAGCTCATGGATCTCACAAAGTGTGACATATCACTCTTACAAGTTGAATACACGCACCGACGTGCAATGCGACATACGGTAGACATTCCCATAGGCGGTTCTGTGGCACATGTGAATCCGTATTATCAGCAATAACTCACATCCCTGAACGTCAACTAAGTATAGCCCGTGTCCACAATGATGTGGACAAAGGCGTCACTTTCAGTTGATTGATGTGATCATAAAACCAGACAAGGTCGATTAAGGTCAAAGTAAAGTATAAGTGCGCCACCTATGGTGACACGAAGCTAAGTTTGTGTTGTTTTTTATCTCCAGATTTCTCGATTCATGTTAGCCATTTCTTTCTAGGGAAATGAGTCATTGACACGCAGATCGCCGCAAATAGCGCCACCTGTGTTGACACAATGGAAATGAGTACCTTCTCTCGTGATTAGAAAATATATTTGGTGAGGTTGTTAACTTGTTTTGATATTACTCACTCAACAACGCACGGAAACCGAGAAAAACTTATTTGACTCTCTACTGTCGTAAAATATTGTTACATAAACTTCAAATAACTTCAAACTTCAATACTTAAAGCGGGAGGGTCGTCACCTGCGCACGCGCGGGAATTGAGTGCCATGCGACGATAACAACACACGCTAACAACGCAAAGGCTCATGGGTAGACGCTTGTTTGTAAACAATGATATGCTATGACCATCTGATGCATGCACAAGTGACAACTCTCCCGCTTTAAATTCGATTGTTTACCCTGTGCTGTGCTTGGTTACCTTGCAGCATTTGTCTGGCTGTGGCTTCAGCATATGTGTTAGACTCAGTCCAGATGGACAGCAATCCCCCACTACCATACTAAGAACTAACTAAGAACCTACAAACTTTTTAAACCAAAATAGAACAAGAAAACTACTTACAATTATGAAAACAGTGAACTTCGCAAATCCTTAACAAATTTAGACTTGGCAACCACTGTCTGAAATTGAAACAGCCGGCATACAGGATTGGATTTTAAAGA